TAATTATTAAAAATTATGTATTAATAAATATAAAGATAAATTATATTGATTGTTTTAAAACCAATATATATCAATATACATTTTAGTTTTTTTTTTTTCACGTTTTAGTTATTCCATCATTTGTGAATAGTTACCAAGTGTCCCGATATCTTGAATTTTATATAGACAATTAAATTACAGTTTTTTTTTTTACTTTTAAATAACTTATTTACAATCATATAAAACTTGTAACTATCGTTATTAATATATTTTTAGGATTTATTTGAGTTCTTTAGCATATTTATGCGTATCTTGATTTTTCATCCGTATCTATACGTATCCAATGCGTATTCCGATACGTCTCTTAAAATTATCTTTTTGATACACCTTACGTTTCCGATACTTTAAACCTTGACTAGGACACAAAAAAAGGTGACATCTTTAGTGACAAACTTACTACCAGTTCAAGGATAAAAGTAAACTTTCTAGGTAGAGTAGACAAGGAAGACACCACGAATGGCTTTAGGTTACAATTTGGAGTATCTATAGTCCTTGTTACCAAGAACTCGTGTTGGTAAATAGACTTCTCGCAAAAAAAAATGCCAAATCCAATGTCCTAGTAAAGAGTTTGTCAAACTATTGGCCCCTGTAGGTATCTAGGTATCCCCCGAATGAGTGGTTTAGGTTGGATGGCAAAGTCCTAATTTCACTTCTCTAACTAGAAAACTGAACATCCAAAGCACCTCTTCCCCCAAATCCATCAATTTAATGACAACTTGACAGTCCCCCTCCACTTGTATGTTCCTCCATCCTTCCATGCCAATGTCCCCCAAACCTTGTATTAAAGCTAGAGGCTCTACCCTTAAATGGTTTCCATAACCAGCGGGTTCCCTATTGTCACTAATCAATCTCCCAGGTTACCAAGGCAACATCCACCAAAGGGTCGGGGATTCTCCTTTGAAAGACAAGTTYCCTTCCTTGTATGCTCTTTCAGACTTGAAAAATGAACCCATTTCTTCYTTCTTAGTCCCTTCAACTTCCACTTCGGGCTTTGGTTGGAACCTTGGCCCGTGTAGGGCAATTAGGGATACGGACTTGGATAGCCTGGTAGCTCTGCTAGCCTCCCTTGAGGGTGTCTTCCTAAACCCTGCTAAGGAAAACAC